TTTCTCTATATAAAGTTTTTTCTGGACTTTTCTAGCGGTCCCAAGGGAAAGGTTCATTACATCCAACTAGCCTTATTTGATATCAGCTGTTTTTCTTCCTCTTTTGCCAGCCCCCCCCCCGCCATTACCAACCTGCAGGTGACTCACACCTACTACTGCTATATGGGTTTCCCTGTCTCTGACATTTCTCTGCCCCAGCTCTCAAAAACCACAATTCACTTGAACATCTCATAGATATGGGAAGGTTCCTTCCTCTGTCCTTTCATATAGTTTTCCTTGTTGTTGTTGTGTACTGTGGAGTGGGAACCAACCCATAGCTGACCCTTAGTGGGTTTTTCAGAGGCAGTTAATTGTATGGGAGGAAATTACCCATCCTTCTGCAGAGGAGCTGGAGGACTCAAACTGCATGGCTTCAGGATTTCAATGCAGCTTCTTTCCACTAGGCCACCAGAGCTCCCCAGAGTCTTCCTTAGTTCATTAATTAATGTAACCTGCTCAATGACCAGCTACATGTATCAGGCACTGCCTTTCTGGGCTGCTGATGGAGTCAAACCACCAGAGAGATTCAGCCTTTGCATTAGAAACACAACACTCTCTGTTGTTCTTAGTACCTGTTCACTACACAGAAACTTTCTGTTTTTCCTAGCAACATATTAGAGAAAGGCAAAGAAGAAAACAAAGGGCAAAATCACAATATACCATATCAACTAATTCTGGGGACTTTGGTGACTAGAGATAATATCATTAAGACCTTCAATCTCTTAGATTAAATAGTTTGTGTCTTTAGTTTTCTAGAGCTGCTGTAACGCAAATACCAGAGTGGGTGGTGTTTGTTGATTATGTTTATTTTAGATTGGCTTACTTAAAAGTTTGTATACATTATGTTTCACTGTATTCCTCATTTACAATGTGTTTCATACAATCATTCCCATTCTTTATATTTTATAAAATTAATCACTCTGGACTATGCCTATCATTACCACGTCTTTTCAGGTCCCTGCCAGATCTTTCCCATTTCCTGTAAGTCCCTTTCTCCTCCCACTAAATTGTGATTTCACCCCAACACATCCTCACCCCTCTGCTCCCATCCCTTCCCCCCTTGGGGGGAATATGAGGATACATGTTTTACTAGTTATTCTTCTATTTTTACAGTAATGGTCTTACCCAGTATTCACGCTTCCCAAAAACATAGAAACAGCCCAAATGTCCACTCAAAACCAAATGGATTGAGAAATTGTGGTACGTTCATACAATGGAATACTATGCAACACTCAGAAGCAACAATATTGAAGAATACTACACAACTTAGGAGAGACTGGAAAGTCTTATGCTGAATGAACTAACTTAGTCTCCTAAGAAATAGAATGTTTCTTCTCATAGTTCAGGTGCTGGAAGTCTGAATTCAGAATGTAACTCTTAGGGGAGTTTCTTCTTTTCTGTTTCAGCTTCTCATAGGCCATGATTCTTAGAGTTCCCAGGCTTGTGGGTTCATATTTCTCCTTCATCATTAGATCGTGTTGTCTCCATCCTGTGTCTAATATACATTTTCTATAAACAAAGCGGTTAGGCTTAAGTCTCATCCTACACACTCTTGTGACTTCCTAACATAACAAAGAAATGATGTTTCCAATATTATTCACAAGAATCATTCTTTTTTTGCTGTGGAATCTGAACTCAGAGCTGGCTCTCCATTGGGTTTCCATAGCTGTGAGTTGTAAGGGGATAAAGTCCATCTTTCTCCTCCAGAGCTTCTGGAGGAGTCCAACCAATAGAGAGGTACAGTCTTTTGGAGCAGGGCTACTCCCTGTGGACTACCCCTACTCACGAGAGCTCCCTCATTGAAGGAAAAGAAGTCAGAACACATATTTTCATGGAGCACCATTCAACCCATAGCACTGTGTTTCTAGATTTCATGGGCCTGCTCCACAACATAGCAAATGTGTTGATGGGCCAATGCAGGGTGAAATGGAAACCAGGGAAAGAGCCATTTAGTCAAACAGAAGATGTCTGGAAAGGCAGCCTGCAAGAAGATACCATTAAGCAGAGACCTGGAGGATGAGCTAAGACTTGGTCTCACTAGGAGGAGAGGTGGCGAAGCTGTGTATCCAGGACCTCTTGCTTCCGCATTAAGGAAGATGGTGACTGTGGGAGATGCCCAGAAGGTCCAGCCAGTGATCTCCAGGGCTCTGTACCAGTCACTCTCTCTGTCCCTCTCTAGGACACTGTGGTAAATGCATAGCAGTAGATTGAAGTCTCCAAATAATTACCGAGAAGTTAACAGTTCTAATCTACCCATGGCTGTTCTGAATAAAATGTCTGGCAATCTTTCTAGAACTCACAGCTATTAAATAAATTCTGTAGAGCCCAATATTACTCTGAAGCACATCAATCAAACAAATGGCCACTAGTATGAGAAAAGACCAGAGTCTTGTCCTTTGCAAAGCACTTTCCTGGAATTCTCGGAATTCTCTGCCAGCAGACACTCTCCAGACCTGATATCCACCTCCATTTCCATAATCTAAACTTTTGACATAAAGATTACATATCAATATGAAACATTCTCTGCATATTACCTGATAAGTATATTGGTATCTACCTCTCTATGGTGTCCTAGTGTTGGCAATTAAGAGTTGTACAGTCAACACAAAGGTAAAGGGTTCAAATCCAACAGTTGCTTCAAGGGAGAAGTATGGCCAACCTCCTCCAATGGGATTTACAGCCTCTGAAAACATGCTGGAAAGTCACCTATGAGTTGATTCTAACTTGTTGGTGCATAACAACCACCACCTTCTCAGTGATAAGGACTAAATGAGATAATGTAGATGAAAAGGCTTCCTGAACTCGCAGGCACTCTGTAAGTGGCCGTTATTACTGTTGAAGCTCACTGTGAAGTGTCCATCTGACTCAAAGCAACCCTGTAGACAAAGCAGAGCTACCATGTGAGTTTCTGAGGCTGTGAATCTTTATGAAAGCAGACTGCCTCATCTTTCTCCCAAAAAACAACGAATCTGTTCCAACCACTGAAATTAGCAGCCTGAAGCTTAATCCACTCAATATCATTGCCCTCAAGCCCAAAGTTCTGGTGAGCTGCTGGTGGGTACACACCTCTGAAGGAACATAGCCTTTGGGTTAAGCCGCACAACTGCCCACAGACTAGGCCACCAGACCACCGTTCTACGGCCTCGTGGCTATTATTGGTTGAAGTATGGCTAAATAAATTACAATCGTTATCATTCCCACAGAAGTTTGTGCAGAAAGCGTAGACACAGAGTGACCCACCCCACAGCTAAACGCATGGCGGAGCTCAAGGCATTTCAGGGATGCGTGCTCTTGGCCATGAAACTCTTCCCCTATCCAGGTACGCAGCACTGTGCTCAGGCTTCCAGGAAGACTGCCAAGTTAGACAGCCTGGACCCCGCGCAGCGCTGCTCCTTCTCAGGTACGCTGGTGTGAGCTGCAGTTGCCAAGTGTTTCCAAGAGCACAGTTAGCATTTATTTTGTTTAATTCTTACATTATGTTCCAACCTCCTCCTAAATGCATTTGTTTGCAAAAAAGAGCCACGAGGGGAAGTTCAGCCCACAAATAAGAAGATAATTATTGCGTAGTTGAGCAGTGCCTGGGCGTCGCCCGGGTATTCACCGTGGCTCTTCAATTCAATTGTCTCTCCTTCAAGAGCATACTTAATAGGATAAACAATTTCTGCTAAATGCAATAAATGCAAACCTGGGCTGTCATCTCCATAATCAACTCAAATTTTGCATTAAAAGCGGTGGCTGTGATTGAGAGTCAGAATTTAATTTGGTGGCGAGTGCTGCAGAGCGCTGGCTTTGGCTTCGTGGGACCCTCCCGTCAACCAAAGACATACCACTCTTCTCTGTCTCTGGGGAATCTTAAAAGAAGATAGATTATAACTCAAGAAAATGATACAGCCTCAGCATAATGAAAGAGATAAAGCGTTATTGGATTAGCCTGTTGAAATAACAGCAGACGGCAAAGCAATAATATTAAGCCAAACAAGGACCACAAACCCGGACAGCTCACTTGCTGGTAACAGAGCAAGTAAGCTGCTCCTGATTGTTTTATTGACTCAATTCCAGATATGTGGTTGGGACAGATTGGTGGCTGACTATTCATGGATGTGTTTAAGGACTGAGGCCCCAGAACCGATCTAAGATGCAAACTTGAAGCTGATGATTGGGCTGAAAACAAATGGACTGAAAATGAATAGAATGAACCAATTCATCTTCAACTAACTAGTTTTGTCCCACAAATTTGATTTCAGCAAATTCACCTAAAGCTTTGCAATCTTAATGGAAGTGCCCAAGAGCTAAGCAGATCTTAAGGGGTGCTTAATATGATGGAGTGAGAGAAATTAAGCCTGATTGATCAGTTGACTCAACCAGGTTTTGGTAACATCAGAATTAATTGTCTTCTCATTCTTTTAAAATCCCCTTTCCCAAAATGCTGTTTGCACAAAAGCACAAATATGCAGGGCATTACAGAATTTACAGACACATTATCAAGCAAGAGGAGGAAGAAGACATAGTTTATACATTCCACACCATCAACTAAAAATTTTCCTGGGGTTAAATATTTCTTCTTCCAACTCCTCTCCCACTTCCTTTCCCTTCCCCCCTATCCTACCCTCCTCCTTTCTCCCCCCTTCCGTCTCCTAACCCTTTTCCTCCCACTGTCTTTCTCCCTCTCCCTTATAGTTACTAGCTGGCAGCAAATGTTAGAAAAGAAAATTGTCAAGCTAAACAAAGTCAAGATTACACAGATGCTTAAAGAGTATATTCTCTTAACTTAATATTTATTCACATCAATGTGCATTTCACAAATTAAGGTATTTATTTTCAGCATCTTGCACGCTACTTCCTTCCACTCTTGGATGGGTAGTTGGGAGGTGGGGCGGGGGTAAACATAGTCTGAGTTCTCATAACCTAACAGCCCTCCTGTGTACAACTTTCATTAATCACTGCTGGAAGCTCACTCTTTCCTAACAACTAAGTGTTTCTGAATCCAGGCCTGAGCAGGGGCTCCCCCCATTCTGAGGAGGTGGATTGTTGCACTGCCTTTGTCTTGTTTTCTGTCCTCCAGAGCACGGAGACCACTCTGACCAGCAATTCCACTTTCCATCAATAGGAACATCTGTAAGAAAGAAAGTCAATAAACACTTGTGAGCCTTTACAACGTTGATGCCTTATTGGGTTTTGTAAAGGTATACACCAGACTTTCTTGGAAGTCTAAAATCTCTGATCTACCCACTCCACACCTTTCTTAGAGAGCAATGTATTTGCCACATTCCCTCCCCTCACAGGGTCTTTGCACATGCTATCTTTGCTCAGGGAACTCCTCCTTCTCTTTTCACCTCATCAACTCCTACTTATCCTTCAAAATTCAGTTCAACTCAGGGAACTTTTCCTTGACACCCTTTTCCAATATTTCCAATTTTAACCTCTCAGAGTATTTCATAACAATTGCTAGAATAGTAAATTAACATGTATGTCTGGGAAAATTCACACGATTGATCTTTCCTTGTAAAGAGCAATGTCTCAGATGATACAATTTGTTCACCTTTGTGCCCCAGCATCTATTCTGGTACATAGTAGGTCTTTGGTAAGTTTTGGGTCCGTGAGTAAATAAGTGTATATTTCTAGCTTTGACACTTGTTGGTTATGGGATGCCTGAGGTAGCTTACTCTGTATCTTCCCAACATAGCAAATGGGAGTAACATCATCTACTATCAGTGTTGTGTCCTAAACAAAGCCAACAACAAGCTCTGGCATTTCTTACCTTCTGACACTTTCCTTTCACTTTAGCACTTTTGGGGAAAACAGAATTAAATAGTTGCTTAATGCCATCATGATTTATCAGGTATTTTGCTGAGCCAATAACTCCCGTTTAACAGTAGGTAAATTATTCAACATCTCTGAGCCCCCTTCTCCCCTTAATTTATAAAATGAGAGAGCAAGGAGGCGTGTATAAGACAGTTCTGACCATATAAAGTGGTTGTGTGGTTACTCATTCACTGGGCATGACATTGGGGACCTGGATGAGGTGTGTGAGGAAAGAAAGTCAGGATTCAGCTGAGAATTTCACTAGGAAGGTGGAATGGTCAGGTATTAGAAGCCAAGTCTGGGATGTCACATACACAGGATCCAAATCTACGTTTTTACCCTTACTCTGTGACTGATGGGCAAAGTTGCTAGTCCATAACTATTGAATCTCAGTTTCATCATCTATAAACTGAGGATAGCAATAGCATTACTTCACATTGTAAGGATTAAAGGATTTAATACATGTAAAAACCCCGAAATGGACAGTATTCATTTTCTTTTAAAATATTTGAGACATTCAACCTTATGAAAACCTTATAATGTAGCTCAAAATATCCTCATAATTTCCACTTACAAGTAAGGAAACTGAAGCACAAAGAATTAATGTGCTCGAATTCACTATTATTAAATGATGGAAAAGGAATCTGAACTCATGCTGAATCTCGCTGAATCTCAGCACTATCCAAGGTGCCTGGTACAAAGAAAAGTGTCCAAATACTGTCTCCAAAAAAAGTACAGAAAAGAATAGAGAGGGTTGTTTGTAGATAACTCAGACGATAATAATGTCATGTAAAGAAGATAAGAGCTGGGAGGAATACTAGTGATGGCCTGATCTTTCCTTGATTAATCTAACACGTACCCTGAACAGCAGCTATGTGCCAGGCTCTGGGACAGAGAAGTGAATTGGACATGATTTCTATTCATACTTGCAGGGGAGATTCAGACTCTCTACACACACTCTCTGAAATACAATGTGCTGGGTGCTATAATAGATTCATGCTTAAAGTCCTGTGGCCATCTGCAAAAGAATGAACAAATTCTACCTAGAGACTTAAGGAGCTCTGGCATTATTGTGCATTACATGTTTCACCGATAACCTAATGCTCAGCAGTTCGAATCCACCAGCTGGTCCACAGGAGAAAGATTTACAGTCTCCTCTTATTAAGTTTTACATCTTCAGAAACCCAGTAAAGGGTCACCAAGAGTAAGAATAAACTAAACAATAGTAGATTCAGTTTTAGGTTTTAATCAGAGAATTAGACAGATTTGTACGGGCTGGATTTTGTGAACTGAGTTCTTGTGTACTCTGCAGCCCTGTAGACTGCAGTTTTACTCTGACACACATGCTATCATTGGGTACCAATTACTGCTGAGTCAGAACCGACCCACTGTTGACACTCCAGCAGGTTTTCCAAAGCAGAAATTTGCATGGGAGATTTCCCAACTTCTCCCACAGAGCAGCTGGTGGATTTGAACTGTTTGCTTTGGGATAGCAGTGCAACTTCTTACTGAGTCATAGTTTGCTAAATAGAAAAAGAGAGTGAGCTTTCCTGTAGGATAAAAACCTTTGATTTCCAATGTTCTGCATTGATAGTCCTGTCACTTGAGTACTCCCATTGTAAAAATAATGAAGTGTAAAAACAGGAGCCAGGGTGGATTTCAAGTCTTATCTTGTCCCCAGGAACACACCTCCAACTTATTTTTGTCCTTTTGAATTATTCTCTGAACTTTCCCAAAGTTCCCTTTCCCATCCAACTCTCTAAAGTTCCTTACTGTTTCGAAGAGTGACCTCACAGGCTGTGCCTCGGAATCCAATGGGACAGATGCAATCACAGCGAGATCCTGAGAAGACAGAGAGAGTGTGAACTGATCAACATGGAGCTCGAACCCCACGGTGCTGCTTCCATTAGGTTAATACAGGGCAAATTTCACCTCGGATGCTTCATAGAAAGCAGGTTCAGCCAAGAATAGCTACTCTTTTCTGGAGGGTCTTTGACTTGGGAAAAATGTTTGGCTGTCATGGTAAAATTAAAGCACTTATTGAGAAAAATTACATGTTAGCTGACGTTTGAGCCACACTCACGAGATTTCAAGATTATAATCCACCTAGATTAGCTGGTCTGTCCATTTGCTGTACAGAGGTAACTCGTGGTTGCTGTGATGCTAAACACTGTGAGGTGTCAAATGAGATAATGGTTACCCATGATGGGCAGTAATTGGTGGTACTCCCCAATTAAAAGAAGCTTGGAAGCAGGAGTGGCATCCACTTCTGATATAGCTTGCTTCCAGAAACTCTATGAACTTGGAGAAACGATGAAACTTACACAAGTGTTCAGGTCTTCCGTTCATAAGGTCACTATGAATTGTCTATGACTCGACTGAACTTAACAACAACAGATTAGCTCAGAAAGTAAAAATGCCACCCCTTACTACTCTACTCTTAATAAATGGGCAACAGCTATCTAAAGGTGAGATGCTTCAGGGTCACCAGACTAAATTAACAGAACAACCAGAACAGAAATGGCAATACTGACTAACAGAATGTGAGGAAGGTAACCAGTGTCCTGGATCATTGTATGTCAAAACAGTGGAAAGGAAGTGTGTTCTGCTGTGTATATTTTACCCAAAACACAGGAAAATATTTTTTGAAAAGAGAATGAGTACAGGCTCCAAGGTGGGAAGAGGAAGGACATAGGGTCACACAATTTGATGGGTGGAGGGAGGGATGGGTAAAGGAAGAGGGAAAGATCTGGTGTGAAAAACAATACATATGAAATTTATGAACTTTGTATGTAAACTAGTATAAAATTTTTAAAAACTAAAAGGTTTTTAAAAAAAAGAGAGTAAGAGATTAATAGCTACATTAGAAATCATTCTCTGAATGGCCAATTTTAGTACAAGTGGTTACCACCCTCTGCTTTATGCAAGTGATGGGGAATTTATTACCCTTAACTGTCTCATGAGACTTCTATCCTTAAAGCAGGAGAGGTCAGTCTTTGGAGGAGGAAAGTACGCTTGGGAAAAGTAGAGGTTTGGAGAAGGAGAGGAAGGCCTTTCAATGAGATGCTTTGATGCGGTGACGACAACAGTGAACTCAAGCAGAGTGGAGTTGAAGAGGATGGCATAGGAGCGGGCAGAGTTCTGTCCTGTTGGTCACAGGACTATGAGACAGAGCTAACTTTGCAGCACTTAACAAAAGATGTCTCATCCTATGCTTGGTCAGTTCTGACACATGGGGAGGTTTTCTGCTAATATGTCAGCCATCAGTCCATCACCTTAGATCTCACCGGAGTCACACCTCATTATGAAGACTCTTCCATATGCTTGACTCTGCAAGCCTTAGCTCCATATTTTTCCTCACCTCCAACATACTCTCAATTGGGTCTCAATGTATAGGTTTAAATTTCCATGGAAGATAAGGGGAGTTTCAGGAATTGAAACCTTGAGCTGATAACTTGACTCTGTCCAAGATGCCCTGTTCAGATAGTTGGACTTTCAGGCTTTGAAAATAATCTCATTTTTGATCCCTTTTCTCATTGTCTATCCTATCTGAGAGGCTAGAAACATACTCTTCAATCCCAGGCTGCTGGGTGGAATCTTTCTCCCTATAAAGCTGGCCTCTTGTATCCCTCTGTTACCTCTATTCACATGAGTTCGACACTGACCCCGTAGGTTGGATCCTGCTTAACTTGATGCCAGCAATGTCACTAGAGCTAGTGTGTCATCTCTTGTGTTAACTCACGGTATCACTCCCTTCCCATGGTTCTAGTCCTGTGCCAGACCGTACAGAGTCCTTAGTGATTGATCTAATGATCTATTTCTATCTTAGAGTAATAGATAATCAATGTTCAAATTTTATAAATGTAATTTTTTATTCTATGAATACTAACAGCAAAACTGGTTTTATAAAATCTACTTGGAATTATATTATTGCTCCAACCATATTAATAACGGATTCAAAATCTTTAAAAAATTTTTCTTCTTTTCCTTTAATTAACACTTCAGTCTCAAAGAAGGTTTTGGTATAGATTTACAAATACTATTTGTCACAGCACAGTCACTGAAGCACAAGATAATTTGAACAAACTAGCAACTATAAAAATAAGAAAACTATAGATAGTTGTACTATATCACATCCTTTGTCAACACTTGTAGAAATCAGTATACTTTTAGATTAGGTAGACTAATTTTTTAACCTTTTGATTTTCTTTTTTTTGTTGAGTTCAAAAAAATTGTCTATTTCACTGATAGTAGTAAATTTCCATATGTGGTAGCATAGCTTTAATTTCTCTTACTACAATGTTGTTCTCACTTTACTTATGATTTCATAAATAAACACCTAAAAAACCCTTGTTGCTTCGAATCCACTAACTGTTTTATTTTACTTGAGCTGTCAAAATTTTCTTGTTCAAAATGATCGTTTCGGTTCACTCAAGAAAGCATGTCAGGAAACTTGTATTATAAGTTTACAAGTTGTTATGTATCAGTAACTGCTCTTAACCCCTTTTTAAAAAAAATTATTTTGAAATTTTCTAGGTTGTCACATGTCTTGTGACTAATGCAAGGAAATCCAGTTCCATATTGTATTTGTTCTAATAATTTCTACTCAGGCTATATATTGTAGCTAATTTTTATTTGCAATTACTTTATTCAAACACTGTAAATACTTTTTTTCAAAATAACCTTCCCCCCTCCATTCATAGTAATGGAAATGGCAGAACAAGTTTAGAACATATGCAGACAAAAAGCACATGATTCAAAATGTTACTGGGTAACAATGACACCACCAGAGCACATTAGTTTAAAAAGTAAATTAGCATAGAGTTTTTAGCCTTATTGATATATGATATATATAAACTGGGTTTACAAAAACTGTTTTTTGTTGTAACTAACTAGCAGGGTTTTTAAAAAAATATATAACTATTAGCACCGCACAACCATTTTATAGGCATTCATTCAGACATCACACCCTCTGACAGCATCGTCTGGTGTGACTACACTCCCTGCACCCAACTGATGACCCTTTGCAGGTGCTGAATTGTACTTTTGCTAAGAGTCTTGCTGGATCCGGAGATCAGGAGTATATTATTCCAGGATCTACCTTCTTTCAGATTTATCTGCCTACTGCAGTAACCATGAACACGAACTTTAAATTTAGCAATCAATTATTTCTAGTGACCTCCCTGAATCCTCTAAACATACCTTAGGGCATAGGTCTTGCTCAGCCCAAGATCCCGTTTTTAATTGAGAGAAAAATTCCAAGAACCATTCCCACTCACTCCTTGTTGCAGGCCACAGAGTCTCTCAAAGTACCCTTGTCTTCCATTTAATGCTATTGTCACCCATTCTGTCACTTAGAGCTGGAACCTCAGTGTCCTGACAGCCTGAGCAGTGTGTCCTGGTCGCCTCTTTTCAGACTTCTTGGGAAGCAGAAGCAGGTACACAGTTGACCCTAGAACCTGCCTCCTCAATGTGATGGTTTTCCTGAGGGACACTAACTGTGGGTCATGGTACCTTTCAGGAGAGGAACCCCGTTCCCCCGACAAGGAGCGCATTGGCAAGAGCTGATTTCTTTCTGGAACTCTTCCAGGGCCTGCTTCATGTTCTGCCTCACTGTGCTGGAATACGCAACGTCTGCGCCTGTCACCAGTTCATACAGAGGCTCTGCCTGGAAAGGGAAGAGAAGAGAAGTACTTAAGAGCAATCATGTATCAATTGAGATGGAAGGCAAGGCTACACAGAAACTGGTCACGTCAGTGCATAACGACAACTCTGGATCCACATGGAACAGGAGGGTTGCTATAGTGTGAGAACTGATACCCAGCCTACCCTCCCTCCACCTTCTCCATTACCACAGATGGAATTGTGTCCCCTCAAAAGACATATTCAAAATCTAACCCCTATACCTGTGGAAATGTTCCTACTCAGAAAAGAGTTTTCTTTGTTATGCCAGTTAGGCAATATCCATGTTAATCGACATCCTCAACGTAATCTCTTCTGAGTTATAAGAAACAGTACAGCACAAAAAACCAAACAAAAAAACCAACCAAAAAAGGCCAAGAAAACCCCACCACAAATAGAGAACTACAGATATCACACGGAGCTATTGGGGCCTAGTGGCAAGGTGTTGTGCTGCAATCCTGAAGGCATGAGGCTCGAGTCCACCAGCCGTTCCACAGGAGAAAGATGGGCAATCTCTTCCCATGTGATTAACTGTCTCTGAAAACCCACCAGAGGATCAACTATGGGTTGGTTCTGACTCTATGATACACAACAGCAACAACAATATGTCAAGCTCATAGAGAGTCCAAGGAATGCCAAAAAAGATAAGGATATTCCCCAATTGCTGATGGAGAGCCTGTACCTAGAGCTGAATAATATGGACTTATAACCTCCTAAAGTGTGAGAAAATAAATTCCTGTTCTTTAAAGAAACCCCTCATGGTATTTCTATTACAGCAACACTAGAAAGCTAACACACCTACCCACACCTAAGTTCGTTCAGGTACAGCTCAACAATTTCTTACTGAATGTGACTGTTATTCTTATACGCTAATGAGCTGGAACCGATTCTTTGAGCCTCCAATGGATTTTTCAGAGGCTGCAAAGCACTCAAGAGGATATTGCCTGTCCTTCTTCCAGGGTACAGCTTGTAGGTTCGAACTCTTGGCGACGAGGACTGTGCACTGTCCAGTTCTCTGCTTCTTGATCCAGTCAAGAACTTAGCAGCCTAACCAATCAATGGCTGATCGGTGGATTCTTTTTTTTTCCTATATTTTATTAATTTTCATAAAAATTTACAGAGATTTTGGGTTTCCATTCATTCATTGTTGCACTATTCTCTCTACCCTCCTCCCAGTTTGTTCTTGTCCAAGTGCCACAGTGCTTGTCAAA